ATGTGTGGTGGTTTGTAAAGAATGGCTTCAATATCTTCTTCTTTGTTAGATCAAATTGATTGAGTGTATTTCAGATTCATAAAAGTCACATTTTAAGCCAAAACTTAATGAAATAACATGTTAATAAATCTGATCGAGTTATACTCAATCTAGTATGTTAACATTAATGCTCGATTGTGCAACATAATTATATATTAATTGTTAGAAAATGAAACAAAGGATACTGTTGTTAAAATTCGAATAATCGTTTTTGATAACAATTATTTCTTCGAGTCCTATCATTAATATAATTGAGTATTTTTCGTAGGTATGATTTTTCAACAGTTATCACTGGTCTCTTCACTTGTTGTTTTCTATCTTCTATGACAATCTCTAGTGGATAATAGGGTAGAAAATTAATCTTTGTCAAACTCGAGTATGTATAATCGATTAAAAATAAAGGTATAATATGTGATTCATTAGTAGAAATCAATATATCTCCATGACGATGTGCAGCTCCTCTGATTCTCTTGTATGGAATTAATGCTGCACAGGCAAGAAGAGTATTTGTCTTCTCAACATATGATAGAGTATAAGAAGCATTAAAACAAGAATAAATACCATTTCCATATAGATCGCCATGTCTGCATTCGATTATCGGAGCTTCAGGATTATTTGGATGGCGCCGGTCGGGTATCAAAAAACCATAACGAAGAATACTTTGAATATTGTTTCGATGTGTTCCATGATAAACTAATTGTGGAAAATATTGAGAGTTTTGTTTCAAGCTTTGCATAAATGTCTTTTGAACAGATTCATGCACAGATGCCAAACGAATGTTACTGATTTTAATGTATGATTGGTGCTTAAATAGAGATTTGACCGATTTATGCATGACATGATAGAAATGACGACGAAATTCAGAAAAATCTTGTAAATGTTTATATTCATATTTCTTTGATTGATGTATTGTTGTAGAAGTCGATTCATTAGTAGATTTCTTTACTGGTTCTTTTAGTAGTCGATTACATTCGAAACGTTTTGGTTTTTGCCGTTGGCATTGATAACGAAATGACTTTTGTTTATCATTAGCTGTGACCTGATCGTTTGCACAATGGACCTTAAGTAATTCTGTGTTGCCTTTAAGAGTTTTGAATGAGATAGGACATGTTCGCTTTCGACTTCGTTGCTTGGTAGATTTTAATTTGAAAGATTGACTAAGTTCAAATCGATCGATTAGTTCATCAAAATAGAAAGAATCTTGACTTGAATGATAATCAAAACCGTCATACTCATTATCTGACATCATTAAGCAGTTGATACTAAAAAGATAACTAGATATAATGCATGATCTATGATTAAAATTAAAACAAAAAATTTTCCTCGTTAATTCAACTGAACATATTTATCTAACTGTGAAAAATTTTGTGTTTTTTGCAGGCAATATCGATTAAATAGGTCTTTAAAAATAACATATTATTCGAACGTTATCGATAAGTAACTAAGAATGAAAAATAGTCAAAAAACATAGAACTGATTAATAAATCGTTAAGTAAAAAGTAAACAAAGAACTCGATGACGCTTGCTAGGTATATAGCCCTTCATAGAATTCTAATCGTCAACTTTCATATTCTGAATAATAGAAATTCACATGAAGCAATATTTATGAATCATCTCTCGATCAAACTGTCATTTTTTACTATTCATGATCGAAAGTAGTGTCGCATAAGAGAATCAAATGATTAGTCAGTACTTACATATCAATAAGGATGTGATTGACTTACCAATAGATCATCGGTTTTTTATAGGTATGGTTATGAGCACAGAATGTATCGAAATTGCGAAAGATAATGACGCTGATAGTAATCATGACTCACTTCTTTCTACTAGTTTTAGTTACCTGTACACACTAAGTTGAAATAAGTTGCATTTATTTATCGCCAATTAGAGTGTCACGTGCTTCATCGAAATCTATATCGTAGTTAAATGTGTCGTATTTTTAATCATTCTGTATCTATCCACCTGATTATTCTTCCAGCATTTAGTTTCGTGCATAGATCCATATCCAGTCAATGTAATCAATCATGTTGTAATGAAAAATTTGCATGAATTTTTTTAAATGAATATCTCTAGATCAATTACCAATCAAGAATATTTCGAAAAAATATTCAATAACTTGAAAAATTCTACTCCAAAGCAGCCTAAACGCAACGCATAGATCCACAGATGACTAAATTTTTAGATCTTACTATCTCAATCACTCCCAACATTGTTGGTAATGATAATTTTATCAAGAACATATTGGTCGCTATAATCAAGTTTTCGGTGTACGTCGAACTTGCTGTACAAAATGTATCGCATACAGGGTAATTGAAAAATTATAAAAATACGATCTTCTTCAAATAAGCATACCGTTGTTGTTGATAACTTGAAATTTGAATATTCATCTATTGCTATGCTTTTTCACTCAGCTAAATCACTGCCTAGCGGGTTGGGGGTGTGGGTGTTGAAAAGAAGTTAAGCACCTACACCCACCCCACACCCACACTCACACTCCACATCCACACCCACGCCCACGCCCACACCCACACTCACACCCCACAGCCACAGCCACAGCCACAGCCACAGCCACAGCCACAGCCACACCCCACACCCACAGCCACACCCCACACCCACACCCACACCCACACCCACACCCTCTTTTAACATTCGAATCCAGCGTATTAGTGTTTCGATGTGTAAATCTCATATATTATATTTTGTTTTACTTTCTTGTGTTCTTCAAATGTGAGTGTTATCAAAGAAATTTCTCCAACTAAGGTTACTGTTAAAATTAGCTTTTTTTTTCTTTTTTCTTTATAATAAGCACGCCATGCACTAACAAACACACATTTATATATTCATCGGGAAATATCACTACTACGTAGCAGATCATAGAAGAAAAAAGAAAAGAAAAGAAGAAAAAAGAAAAGAAGAAAAAAGAAAAGAGAGAAGAAGAAAGAAACGATATGTATAAAAGACGAAACATTATCTCGAGAACAATAATGAAAAACATAATTGTCCCTTGCTTTTCTTATCGTTTATAACTCTTTGTTGATTTTTTAAATCAAATTGAATCTTTTCTATTTGAACGTATAAAAAATGTATCTAAGTAAAGAAAAAGTAACATGTTTTTATTGTGATTGGAATGGTCATAAAGACAAGGCGAAAGATCATTGCAAAAAACACCATCCTGGTAAAACATTCAAATTAAAGATTGTTGAAAACAACATGGAAAAATTGTTTCAAAAGCAAATAAATCGCGAAACAGCAACAACAACAGATGTTATTAATGATGATATACAAGAACAAGAGGAGCAGTGTTCTACTGTTGTCTCTCCGTCGCTATCTTCATTAAGTAACTTTCATGTATCACCTTTTCCGTCAACTTCTATTTGTACAAGTCCAACAACAAATTCAGTTTCGGATCAATTAGCATTAGTGATGGAACAATTAAAAAAAATGAGAAATGCAATTGATCAAATAAGTTTAGAAAAAACAAAGGTTCAATTATCATCATCATCTTCGGAATCAGATGATTTAGAACAAATGTTTCAAAATATCACATGTTCTAATAACCTATATATGCTAAAGTATTTAGAAATAAATAGTCAGTTGGATACCATCACATGTATACCTTGTTTTAAATTGATAAAACAAGCACCAAAACATCTGTTAAGTACAATTAAACCCAGCATTTGGTGTATTTGAGTATGTTGAACAAGATCCACATCAGATTCAATCCCAACGATTCAGAAGTTTGAAGAGAAATTTAAAATTACATTATGAAAATAAACTTCATATGTGGTGTGTTGAAGAAGACGAAAAAGTCAAACAAGAATTACATGATTTTATTAGAAAAAATAAAAAAGCTGGTTTCAGTATTGGTAGAGCAGCGTTATTTTGCATTCAAAATGATTTAGATGGTCTTAAATTTGTGCACACATGGAATTTATTGGATCTATGTGGTGCTTCTATTGGAACTTATAGGTAATAAAAAAGATTATTGTAAACAAATTTATATCACCTGTTCGGCATTTTTGTACTTCTAGACATAATCGATGGTTTTTTCAAGAACTTCGAAGTTCAATGGCTACATCTATGAAACAAAGAGTTATGGAATATTTAACATCAGTCGATCCAATTACACGACAACAACGATCAATAGGTATTACATTTGATAAAGTAACATTGTTAAAAAGGTCTTTGCAAGTGACAATGCTTGTCATAATGATTGATGAACAATTAACACCTATTTATTTAAAATCATCTTTATGTAAAACCGAATTATCAGGTGAAGAATTAGCTGCTAATTGTGTTAATGTATTAGAATCATTTGGTTTAACTAAATCTATGTTACAGGACAAATTAACTGGTGGTGCTGTCGATGGTGCCTATATTCATATGAACATAAATGAGCATTTATGTAATAATATAGGGATTCAACAGAATTGGTTAACAATTTCATGGGATGTTGCTCATTTATTGGAATTGGCAATTGATGATACACAAAACCAAAAAAAATTTAATTGGTTACAAATGGTCATTAAAACTTGTGCTGAAGTGATGAAAAAGTATTCGTATGGTAAACAGTATGAATTTCTTATTCAAGCAGCAGAAGAGATACAAGAAGATATTTTACAACCTAAACAATTTCACGTAACTCGTTTCGTCAGTTCTCAGTTACGTGTTTATGAAACAATATTGAGAAACTGGAAAACTTTATATGTTTTACAAGAAAAAGATGATGTAAACATGGCATTAAGTCATGGTGATATTAGTACAAGAACGAGACAAAAACTTGATGCTCAACAAAAACCAGGTGATAAAGATGTTGATAGTGTAGCGGTAAATGAAATCGAAATATTTTTGTTTCCAAAACTACCTTTTATTTTTAGTCGAGACAAATAAAATCCTTTGATTTTGTTTGTACACTTATCGGTTTGTATGACATATATAGTATACTTGCAGAAGCATCATTATCGGTGCAACAGGTAAATAAATATCCATGGGAATGGAATATGATTATTCAATTGAATATTTACAAGAACGATTAACTACATATGAAGAATTATTGGAAACTTTGAATTTTAAATCAACACAAGAAGCTGAAAATTTAGAAAGTAATTTATTGTATGTTATCGTGAATATTACCTATAGCCAAGTATTTTATCTATTCTAGAATTTGATTTAGATAAATTAGTTCATTCAACAACTGCTGATGATTTTGATGAAGATGAAGATGAAGATGAGTACGACGAAACAAAAGCACAAAAAAAACAACCAACAACTTTAATGGAACAATATTATCATGATTTATTAAAATGTGAATTTCAGCAACTTCTAATCACCAGAAGAGGTGGTGATTATGATTTAGAAGACCCAACTGAACATATACGACAAAAGCTAATAGAGTTGTGCCAACATCTATCAGAATCAATTGCTAAACGATTTGAAGATATTCCAGAGATTTTTGTATTAATGAAAAACTGTTTAGATGCTGCATTTTTATATCAGCAAGTAGTATTGGATAAGACACAAACAATTGTTGATTATGGTAAAAATGAATTTCAAAAACTAATTCCCTAGACTGAAAGGCTAGGGTCTAGAAACCGAAATTCACCTGTGTCTGTCTGTCTGTCTGTCTGTCTGTCGGTAACGCGGTCAAAACGGCTATTTTTTTGGCAAAAACGGCCATTTTTTTGGCACAAACAGCCATTTTTTCCAAAATTAACTAGGTAACTATGGTACAAATGAACATATGGTTCAAATGCCCATAGTAACAATGGTGCAAATGACCAAATAACAACTATGGTCAAAATGACCGTGTTAACTATGGTACAAATGACCATTTGGTTAAAATGTCCATCTTAACTGTGGTCCAAACGACTATTTAACAATTATGGTCAAAATGACCATGGTAACTGTGGTACAAATGACCAAATAATAACTATGGTGAAAATCACCATAGTGATTGTGGTATTAGTGATGATAGTAAAAGCATGATAAAAAAATCGACTTGGTAATTATGGTACAAATGATCATACAATAATAAAAATTTATTTTTATTAATAATGTGATATATAAATAAACGAAATAAAATTCATTTTTTTTGTGCAAACAGCGCCAATAGATAACTAAAAATGATAAAAATACACTAATATTTATTATTTGAAAGATGAACAACGACATGAATGCAAACAAATTGTCGCATAAACGTCGTTTCTTCTTTGATACCCTAGAGGAACGATTACAACAACTGGACATCATCTTAAGTATGTAATGTAATCTCAGAGGATAAAAATAATGAGTAAATTTTTATTAAGTCAGTAACTTTTTCGAAAAGCTTTTTGATTATCCCTTTTGATTAACATACTGGCATGCTTGAAACTTGTTACAAGTTTATTAAAAACTATCTTTGCTCGAAGTTTAAACCTGACATGAAGTTTTGTATAATTTCTGACGAAATTTTCACGAAAGAATGTATCGAAAAAAAATAAATAGATGTATCTTATGCGTATTTTGCAAGTGATTGAAAGTGCATTCGTAAGAGTGAAGTATTGGCAGACGAAGATTTTTCAGAATATGTCACTCTTTATCTTTCCTTGTTAAACAAAAATCACTTTCATGTTTTCTTATTAAATTTTAATGCACATAGCTCGTCATCATTAACTCCATTTGAGATAAAGAAAGTACAATAGTTCAGGAAAACATTATAAACTCTTTATTCGAACGTGACTATCATGATCCTCACTAAGTCATTATACAAGGTGGTGCAAAAGTTATCTAGCATTCGTGATTTGCAAATAAGTCTTGACCTCTGTGACCTGCTCGTTTAAAATTCAACATTTTTTGTCCAATAAGTATGTATTAACAAGGACAGCTGCTTTCCTTGAATAAACCTTTGTTTCCAGTAATTACAGGATTTTAAATGCACAGATTACAGAGATTGACACTTATCTCCAATTCACAGGTGCTGGGTAACTTTTAGACCACCCATATATAAACAATAAAATCAAACCAGTTTATCAATTTAATCGAAACTATTTCTCATAAAAACCAACTAATTAATAATCAATTCACTGGCTTTAATATCACTATTATAAGATGTCGCACTGCTCGCATCTACTTTTAATAAAATATGTATTCTTAATAGAACAAATCGATCAATAAATTCGCCAATTCATCATTTTACCGGTATTTTCGTTTCTTTTCCCTTTAACTAAAATTTAAAAATCGTCCTCCGGTCATAGTTGTCAATTTCAATTTAATATTGCATATAGCTAACCATTAAGAATTCTCGTTTACATGTACAAACCAATATATCCACATCAGTATTCTGTTTTCAGTCTAGGGCCAAGTGAATCGACTCTCGATGAACGTTACTTGTTGATTTTACTGTATCAAATTCACAGAAACTGATAAATGTGCCTGTTATTCAAGATCAATATTTAGAGTGGAAGCAACGTTGTTTAAATGAAATACAAGATAAAGATACATTTAGTGTTTGGACAACTAACGGGAAAATATTGACATCCAAAGTGATAAAAACATTTTACACTAATATAGATTTATCGGAAGGAATAAATGATTTTCTCCATTTTTATTCATTAATGATATTAAAAATTAGAAGTGAAGCTATTTGTGAATCAGCAGCATCGATATTAAAAGGTCATATTCACAATAACCGTTCTTTACAACACAAATCTTTGAATGATGAAGTATTTCTTCATTGGAATACTCCACCGTTGCATTTAGCTGATAAATTTATTGAACAATCAATAGATGATTATTTTATAAACAAAAAGGACAAAACTTGGTTATTTTATAGGAAAAGTGAACAATATCAACCATGGAAATTATTATCTCCTGGTTCACTCGTATTGAATCGTTTCCGAAGTGAACAAGTACCAAGACTACCAGAATTAAATGATGATTGATAAAAATCATTTTTTTAAATAACCTTTCTAGTTGTTGCTAGCATTATTTCTGTTTTATGTTTTTTTTACATATTCAGTTAAAGATTTGGTTGGGAAAAGATAATTCCTTCTAGTTTCATAGTGGGGGAAATTTTTGGAGAATTATTATGCGTGCGGGGAAATTTTTTAATTTTACGGTAGATTCTGCACCTCTGAGGGGAACCCCCTTAAACTCACAAGGACATCCACACCTACACCTACAATCACACCCACACTCACATCCGGCTTCTGATTTGGAGAATCTTAATTGGCTATTCTTGATACATGTAGGATTCAATTGATTTTTGTTAAATAACATCAGAATACACTTGCAATATTATTCGCCAATCATTCGCCAGCACTTCTCTTAGATCATGCTCATATTTACTTGCTGCATTATCTGAGCACATTAAAACAATCATCGGTCATTCTGCATTCATCCCACCCGCCGTAACTTCACTTACCAGATTCTTTTAATCCTACCCTTTCCACCCAAGCAGATTCTACAGAAAAAGCTATTTAACTCAGCAACCATTGTGAATAAAGAAGCGTCCCTCAATCTGGTGTATCTCAGATAGTGTGCCACTGTATGTAGACGCTGGTTTATCACACTGCGAATTACTGAAATATCCACTCCTATAGGTCATACTTCAACCCACGTATACGACGATACTACAAAGACGGCACTGCAACTAAACAAAAGTCACAGATCTCCAATATGAAGAAGGATTTCCCTTGTTTCGAGTTTCTTTTTTTTTTCAAATAACTTTTTCTCAAAACAATTAGTCTTTTCCTTAGATAATAATTTAGAGAGAAAATTATCATCTTTTTTCACATAAGTAACTGATCGAGCTTTTCAGAAATTGACTTCAGATTCGGATTCCTCGACCTCGATTTACTTTCGTCAACCTTTATAAAATTTCATTGTTTGCTCGAAATACCCATTCTTTGACCCTAAAAACTCGATTCAAAGTTTTGAGAAGCCGAGGTCAGATTCGAATTCTCTGACTTCAATTTGCTTTTGTGAACATCTATGAAAAATTGACCGTATATGTTTTTTTTTGGCCCTGCGACAAGCAAACAAACGGACAAACTATTCGCTTTCGTATAACCCTCCCTCCCTTCAGTCGAGGAAATAATTTCATGTGAACATATTTTATAATAGTATGTTTTCTCATTCTTTTATCTTTCATTGTATTGTTTCAAACTTTTTTATGAAATAATAAACATGAACAAACTCAAAAAAGGAAGACAGAAGTTTTAAAAAAAAGATATCTATTACTCAATATTTTCTACACGGTTGGAAAAAATATTATTCCAGGGGGGTAACGCTATAATTTCAAATAGGAGATATGATGAATTTTATACCAA